ATTTAGCGTTATTAGAGAATTACGGCAAAGTTTCTATTATTATATCTATACTCATTTTTCAACTTCATGACATTTTTTTCTTAAAAAAAAGACAAAACTACCCTTTTCTAGTTTTTAAAAAACCGAAAAGTAACCCAATCCAGTTTTTTCAAAAATCAAAAATTGGATATTTTCAGTTTTTCAAAAACCAACAACTATCTCTCACTTTCTAGTAACTTACTGGAAAATTTACTTGAAGATAATAAATTTTTTGTTTTTGAAAAGTCGAAAATATCATGTTTTTATGTTATTCAGGCACCAAAAATTTGATCTTTTTGGTTTTTCGAAAACCAAAAACTTTGTTTCATTTTCCAATAACCTACAGAAAAATTTATTGGAAAGAGAGAAAATTTTTATTTTTGAAAAACCGAAAATGTCTTGTTTTCAATTTTTCAAAAACATAAACTTGGATATACCGAAAACTATCTTTCATTTTCTAGTAACTTACGGGAAAAAGATAGATTTTTGGTTTTGGAAAAACAAAAATGTCGTGCATTCGATTTTTCAAAAACTGAAAATTGGAATTGGGTTACTTTTCGATTGTTGAAGAACGAAAGCCAATTTCGGTTGTTGAATAACCAAAATGGGTTATTTTTCAGCTTTTCAAAATTCAAAAAATCTAATTTTTCATTTTTTGAAAAATCGAAATGTTTAAACATTTCGGTTTTTCAAAAATAAAAAAAAGGGCAGATCTATCTGGTTTTTAAAAAATGTTATGAAGTTAAAATAACGGGTATACATGTAATGACTGAGACTTTGCTGTAATTCGATAATAACGCTAAATATATAAGATATATACGTTATTTTCTCTATTTTTTTACAATGTCTATTTTTTGTATTTCAAAAAAATATTTCAAAATTTGACAATTTGAAAATGGTCGGGCAAAAAAAAAAAAAAATCATTGATGTAAGACAATTTTGATACCAAATTCAGTGGTAAATGGATAGTTCGTCGAGATTACCTTTGGGATGTACCACATCATATTGGAGCAAAAAAAATGCAAATCACTAGAGTACGTTTGAAGTTGATTTCAATAGCTTTAAAACAAACCAATGGTCAAAAACATTTGTTGAGTAATTAGAGAGGATAAATAGATTTAGCGAAATTTTTATAGTTCATCGATATTACCTCAATGATGCACTAAATCAATCAATATTGGAGCACAAAACGCAAACCAGTAGAGAGGTTTTCAAGTTTATTTCAATAGCTTAAAAACAAACTAATAATCAAAACAATTGTTAAAAAATTAGAGAAAAATAATGGATTTTTATGTGTTCATCGATATTGGAGCAAACAAAAGATGGCTTTTGAAGCTAATTTGAATAGATTCAAAATAAATAAAAAATCTTAAAAAAAATTGACTAATTAAATATAAACAACAATATTGATGCCATGACTCAAACTAGTCTGGACGAGCTAAGCTGAGTGAAGTTCTAAAACCCTATGATACATAGGTACATAGCACAACTGATAAGGGTGTGAAGGGTTAACCCTTGATGAGATCGGAGAGATGGCCAGGGTAGTTGGCCAAGGGACTTTATGACCCTTGTATGTGATTGGTAGGCCTAAAAGGAAAATTGGCAAATCCTCATCATGACCATCACACGACATGTACATATGATAGTCATATTAAGAAGTAGACATAATTGTTCAAAAAATCGAACCGGCCAATGACCAATTCAACCGTCCTAATCATGTAAGTCTCAGCCAGTCAACAGAGTGTTAAGAAATAAAAAAATACAAAAAAAATAAAAAACATGGGTGTAGATCCTATAAAGCTGCTACCTTAAACAATCCAATTAAGGCTTACCTCCAAATTTTATCATTACATGTAATTTTGGTGTAAATATTTTTTAGGATTATCTAAAAATTTATTTTCATATCTAATTATGAAATTTTATACTCCAAAAATGGTTAAAATCAAGTAGATCTATAAACATATGAAAAACTTGAAAATGGACAGTATAGATAATGTGTTGCGAGATGAACTATTTATGGGACTCAAAAATATTTTTTCTATTCATATTCATACATCTTGATGTTAAGATGATCAATTAAAGGGATTTTTAATATTAAAACAACCTTTTCTGATTGATTTTTGAGGTGCATCTTGTTAGTCCCAATAAAATAAAATAAATAAACAACTTACTTGGATCTGTCTTTAAATCACACGAAGGACTTAAGGTTCCATACCAAAACTTATAGACCAAGCCATCCGGTGACCAGCTACCTTGAAAGTCCTCTTGGTGAATCTCGTTCACCAATTTTCCATCATTTTCTCTTGCTATTACTTGAGAGGTTAACCTCTTTTTATAGATAACCATATTTTGTAATTCTCACATTCATTGTCAATAGGAATTGAGATCCAAATATAACTCCTGCCTTAATTTCCTTAAGTGCAGCCAATTAAGATTAACAAGTTGTCATCAAACTGTTAATCCTATGCAATGAGCTAAACCTATCATTAGTGCACTAATGACTCTCATAATAGGATATCATCCAAGCATTCCTACAACCCTCAAACACCATCTTTCTCCCCCCAAACATTATTTTCCATGACCAATGTTTACATGCATGGATTGTGAAATAGGTAAGCAAAGGCATCCAAAGTGAGCCAAATTTCCCAGTGCCATGCCCAAGAAAGCGCCATCAGATTCTTCCTGGAGCGCTTTGTTCTTCGAGAGCATTGCCTTGATGGAGTTGAGGAGTCTTCTTCCGAATATCATTGGAACTGGTAACCGCCAAAGAGGCATTTGTATTTTCATTTCCATTACTAGAAGAAACAACTCCTTGCTTGTCCACAGGTTCACTAGTGTCCTCATTATTAATCTCTTTGATGACTCCTGCAACTGCTTTTACATAGCCAAAATCACTAAAATGAGAACGATCCAAAGATATACACTATGTGAATTAGTATCATATGCCAGTGGTTTAAGGTATATGGTTCACCAATGGGAAACCCACCCCCTATTCCAGATGATGTATGTATTAACCATACCAGGGCGAATGTCCAGCATCTGGAACTATGTTACTCCACCGCCCATCATAGAAAATGGATGGGGGATGTCCACATGCAGTATATATCATAAACCATATACCACCATAGGCTGTACAGTATACTTTGCATTAAGCTATTGGAAAATGCAACAAAGCTAAGAATTACAACGACCTGTGGATGGTAAAGTAGACGTTGTCAGTGCAGGAGGAGCTAAGGATGTTGAAGAACCTTTCTTCATCCTCGTCTGCATTTAGTGGCAGGTCACATTCAATACTTACAGATAACAAATACAGAGAACTTCTATTTTAATAGAAATTTTACTATGTTCTATTCAATGGGTCATTACCATCCAATGAAATGATAAGACGGCGATGGACAGAGAAGGTGGCCCATCAAAAACAAATATGACACTAGTGGTGGGTCCAATAATTTTTTCAAAACCGTCTATCATTTTATTGGAGGGCGATAACCCAATGGCAATGGTTTTCCATAGTCCATGGCACTATTGTATATATCCTCCAAGAGCAACCAATAGAAACAGCTTCGATAAGAGACATAAATGTAAAGGTGCATGGGGCCCCATACTTTCACATTCTCTTCACAGTGCTTGACAACGGCGTGAATGTTTAAGTAATGACCATGAACCAAAGTGTATGCCCATAACAATAGCTTCCTTGAAATGCTTAGATCAAGTGTCTCAACAACAGGTCGGAAGGGAACACCTTCTGTGCCTCGTAGCGATAGCCCTCTAGGTGCCAATCGAGATGTTGCTATTATATAAAGATTTACACCAGATGGCAGGGTGCCACAATAACTCTCGCGATAAAAATTATATGTACATTTTAGCAAAGTACTAGCAGTTTCCATATTTTCAGCGGACGCTTGCTTGACAGGGATGTTTTTGATTTTTAACATCTTGTTCCTCTTAACTTCCATACTTTTCTGATATTTTGGGTCTTCAATGGTTGTATTCCATAGCTCATTGTCTTGTATATCAACATGAAGCTGCCAGCCAGGGTCTAAATCACCAGTAGCTTGAGCTACAATTTGGGTTGGCGAAGGCTCCTCAGGTAAAGACGTAATGGAAGCCAAGCTCAAAACAATAGACCGGCACCAAGCAGCAGAAGCATGATTGCATACTTTCGCACAACGGGTATTTGAGAGTCTAGGATTCTTGAAACGTTTCCTGATCTTCTCGTTGATTAATTCGAGTGTATCCAGCCTGACATCTCTCTCCAATGATTGGACATATTTGTGTATGTAACTATTGGGAATGCCAACCAACAAAATGTTAATAAACAACAAAAAATCTTTGCACAAATAATGCCATCTCGGAACTAAAATTCTAATACAATCACCTGTAAAGAGCATCCACTGAAAACTCTGGGCATAATGAATTGCCCAGTTCAGGCAAAGAGGCAAAATCAGTCCATGAGCTTCCATGGTCCAAAAATATGTTGAATATTCTTTCCAGAAGGTGGTCGAGAGAACCAGCATTGCCAGTAGCAGGAATCACACTCCGGTTGACTGATAATGCAAGGGCCTGGGCATACCGACCAAGAGCAACAGGAACTATATCTTCCAGGCACAATGAAAACTTTACCAAAAAAGAAAAACCAGAGATTAGCAGGCGGAATATTTGTTCTAAATGTCAATAAATAGGAAAAGAGTTCAAACTTCAAACTTATGAAACTTTTGACTCCCCAAGAACAGCAATTGATGAAACAATTGTTGACCCACCCTCTTATCTGTTCGAAGAGATGAGTAGGCCCGTTCAAGAGTGCCGAAATCCTCTGTCTTCTCTAAAAGAGTTAAATACAGCAATATATATTTTCGAATACAAGTAATAAACTTCCGAGAGCTTTCTGGCAATCCCAACTCCAAGACCTTTTTGTTTCCTCCTATACCAGGGGTCCTCCGCCTAGAAATTGTAAGATTTCTATCTTAGTTTTCGACATTTTATTTACCAATACAAGATTAAGACTTCTTTAAGGGTAAGAATCTTGTTGTTACCTTGCTTTTTTAACTATACTATCGATCTCCCACATATTAATGGTAAAAGATGATCGAGATGACTTAAAGCAGAATGATAACTCCTCCTTTGCCCTCTCCAGGTCTCCATCCTCACCCCTCCTATATAATCCTTGAGCAAGCATATACCTGGCCTTGTGAAAATGTTTCAGTTCCCCCTCCACACAAACTTCAAGGGCCATGATACAATCATTGAAAAGAATGCTCCATGCCTTTTCTAACTGAGTGGTAGTTATAAGCTTTTCCTCCTGGTCAGGGCATGCCCCAACGCATGATAATACATTGGTTTTACACAGCAGTTCAAGATCCTCAGCAGTCCACCCTAATAAATTTAAGATGGTATCTTTTGTTGATTGATGAAAAGAATGTGCAGCCACAACCTGAGAAAGTAAAAAAATAAACAGAAGATTAATTTATAGTGATAGCACTATTCATTTCCAAATGATGGCAGCAACTCAACAAAATACCGCCAACTACAAAACTAATACACATAACAAACGACCAAGTACACAAGTATTTAACACTTACCTGCAACAATTGACCACATAGACATAACACAAACATGAACATCAAGAACATGTTCTCAACAAATTTACACCAAAATTCAGAAATCATGTAAGAAACATAGGGAATATATAAACCATTTCCTACGCTACTAAGAGCCTGCAATTAGGTTAGAAACCACGCCATATGACATGGAGAGGCCAATAGAGCTTCTGAAGTTACTACCATGAGTCAAGCAAGAACTACGAAGGATGTGGACAGTATACAACTCTATAGAGATCTCTCTAAGTAGGTTAGAATTCTTCATAAGACTTTCAGAAGTTTCTTATGATCCTTCAGACACCTTGTGGAGCACCTTTCCAGGGATCACTGATTTGTCACTAATTCAAAAAGGAAAAGAAGAATCGTTTACCTCCAAAATGACAGCAAAATTTTCCACTAATACAACTAAACTAATGTGGACAGTTGTAAACTGCAAGAGTCACAGAGGAAGCAACAGAAACCTCTTGTTGCTAACTTGACCGCATAAGAATCCATGAATATCACAATTTCTTATAGGAAGTATATTAACCATGAATATTGCAATTTCTTACAATCCGCACAAGAGACTTTTTGTAATTAGTGCTTACCTAACATCCTTGGTCAGTTTTGGTACAGGGCTACCCACATACTTATTGTGCAGAGCAGGCAGCTTATTTTTTGTATAGAGCTCCCGACTTGTGGGAAAACCTATTTTTTAAACACCAGTAACTCTATCTTTTCTCAATAGAATAGAACAGTTAACACTTTCAAAGAAAAAGAATATCGCAATTTTTTTCTTCCCTTTTTTTGGTTTTTTTTTTTTTAGCGTACATTTGACTCTATAAAAGTAATGTGCAAAATTAAAGCATGGCATAAGAAAGGCTAACAACAGGACAGGAGCTCTGTACAAAAAGAAAAAAATGGGAAAACCCCCTTTCAGAAAATGATCATATATCACTTCTAAGAAATAGCAGCCAAAAAACGAGGCTCATGTACAAAAACGATACACAAGGGCAAGACAAAGGCATGGAGGTGTTGGGAGAAACGAAAGTTGTGGAGGTGCCAGAGGATGCGAGAGAGAAAAGATCGTGCAGAGCTAGTGTAGAGCAAAGATAAAAGAGAGAAGAACAGGGCAAGAGAGGGAAGTTTGAAAGGGGAGAGAGAGAGAGAGAGAGCGAGAGAGAGAGAGAGAGAGAGAGAGAGAGAGAGAGGAGGAGGAGGAGAGTATAGTGTCTCTAGTGTCGTCGTCGGTCGGTGGTCGGTACGGACCGACCGTACGTACGTACGTAACGTACGTCGTACGACGCGTACGTAGTTACGTTTCGTT